AGGAGGAGGATTGCCAGGAAAAGGAGGAGGGATGATGCAGGACGAGACAGGAAAGCAGGAAGAGGAAGAGGCTGAGGGGAGGAAGGACGAGGAGGAAAAGGAGGAGGAGGAATGCCCGAGGAGGCCCCAGTAGGTCCCGGAAGGCCCAGAAGGCTCCAGGAGGCCCCAAGAGGCCCCAGGAGGCCCCAGGAGGGGGCAGGAGGCTTAAGGAGGAGGCAGGAGGAGGAGGAACAGGAGGAGGAGGAGGAGGAGGGGGGGGGAGGAGGGGGGAGGATATGGAAACGAGGAGGAGGAGGAGGAGGAGGAGGAGGAGGAGGAAGCGGATGAGGGAGAGGGAGAGGAGGAGGACAGGGGATGAGGAGGAGGAGGAGGAGGAGGAGGAGGAGAAGGGAGAGGGAGAGCAGGAGGAGGAGGCAGGAGGCAGGAGGGGCAGGGGGAATGGGGGGGAGGAAGCATGACGAGGGGGAAGGGGGAGGAGGTGGAGGAGGCAAGAAGAGGAGGAAGAGGCAGGGGTTGAGGCAGGAGGAGGAGCAGACAGGAGGAGAACGAGGAGGCAAGAGTAGGTGGGAGAAGGGAAGGGGCAGGAGGATACCCCCATGCAAGCTAAAGAGTTTCTCATGTGGGGTCCTTCCGTCGGAGTAATTTTCTCTGCACACCTTCCGCGCAGGATCTCTCGTCCTCCTCCCTCTCCTCTGCTCCTCTTTGCTTCCTCCTCCGCATCATCACCACCATCACCATCACTCCCCACTCATCATCATCACCATCAGCATCACCATCACCATCGCACGATCATTCACCATCATCGGCATCGAACGATCATCATCATCATCATCATCACTACTCGCTGGTTCACCACTTCGCCCCCATCATCATCACCACCATTTACTATCAAAATCGCACGATCACTCACCATCAGCACTCATCATCACCACCATCATCATCATCACGTCGTCATCATCACCACCACCACCATCATCATCATCATCAACCGTATATCATCATCAAACACCGTCGTCATCATCCCATCACCATCATCCACCAAGAGGGAGCCTCGTCTGTGAGCGAATTGTGAGGAAGTCTCAGGCGGGAGTCCCCTCCCTATGGGGCCCGCAGATCATGTTACTAATCCGAGCGGGTCATCGGATTTTTGTAACTGTCGTCACTTTTGGGCTCCTCAGGTTTGAATTTGGGGGAAGTATCAAGCGGGAGCCTCGTCTGTGAGTGAATTGTGAGGAAGTCTCAGGCGGGAGCCCCCTCCCTATGGGGCCCGCAGATCATGTTACTAATCCGAGCGGGTCATCGGATTCCTGTAACCGTCGTCACTTTTGGGCTCCTCAGGTTTGAATTTGGAGGAAGTATCAATCGGGACCCTCGTTTGTCAGTGAATTGCGAGCAAGTCTCAGGCGGGAGCCCCCTCCCTATGGAGCCCGCAAGTCATGTTATTAATCCGAGCGGGTCATCGGATTCTTGTAAATGTCGTCACTTTTGGGCTCCTCAGGTCTGAATTTGGAAGAAGTATCAAGCGGGACCCTCGTCTGTGAGTGAATTGTGAGGACGCGTCAGGCGGGAGCCCCGTCCCTATGGGGCCCGCATATCATGTTACTAATCCGAACGGGTCATCGGATTCCTGTAATTGTTGTAACTTTTGGGATCGTCTGGTCTGAATTTGGAGGACGTATCAAGCGGGAGCCTCGTCTGTGAGTGAATTGTGAGGAAGTCTCAGGCGGGAGCCCCCTCCGTATGGGGCCCGCAGTTCATATTTGAATCTGATCGGGTCATCCTCAAACATGTAACTATCGTCACTTTTGGGCTCCTGAGGCCTGAATATGGAGGAATATCAAGCGGGAGCTTTGTCTGTGAGTGAATTGTGAGGAAGTGTCAGGCAGCCCAACGGAACCACCGAGGGGATTTGAGAACCTTTTTTGTAGGGATGTCTCAGGCGGTTTGCTGGTTTCCGGGCTCAACATCCTTCGCTTGGACAGCAGATTGTGAGGATGTCTCAAGCGGGGCGCTGGTTGCATCACCCCTAAGGGGAGCCGCCAGGGGTGGTTGCACGGGCTCGTTCGCGGCCATTATATGGAGATGTCTCAGGCGGTTTGTTTGTTTCTGGGCTCAACATCCTTCGCTTGCAGAGCAGATTGTGACGATGTCTCAAGCGGGGCGCTGGTTGCAGCACCCCTGTGGGTAGCCGCCAGGGGTGGTTGCACGGGCACGTTCGCGGCCATATTGTGGGGATGTCTCAGGCGGTTCGCCTGTTTCTGGGCTCAACAGGGAGGGAAATGACAGGAACGAGGATGAGGAGGAGGAACAGGAGGAGGAACAGGAGGAGGAGGAGGAGGAGGAGGAGGAGGAGGAGGAGGGGGAGGGGGAGCAGGAGGATGAGGAGGAGGAGCAGGAGCAGGAGCAGGAAAAGGGAGGGGGCGGAGGAACAGGAGGAGGAGGAGGAGGAGGAGGAGGAGGAGGGCGCTTTGCTCGAAGGTCCTTGACGCGAGCAGAACGTTTGTTCCGAAGTCCAGGACATATATATATATATAGGAGAGACGAGGAGTGCAGGGAGCGAGAGGAGAGGGTGTCCGCCAGGGGGAGGAGGAAAGGGCAAAGGGTAATCTAAACAGATTCTCATGTGGGGTCCTACCGTCGGAGTAATTAAAGTCAGGATGGGCGGGCCCAGATTGACTGCCGCGCGCGATGTGCGCCGCGTCCCATTCCTGCCACGCTGTTCGCATCGTCGACGACAAGAAAGACGATGTTGAGAAGAAAGACGGCTACTTTTTATTGACTTTTTATAGTCTGGATGGGAGGTCCCGGACTGGGTCGCCATCGGCCGGAATACGAGGTAGGTGGGGGTATATTATAATAAGGAACAAGGACGGGGGCAGGGGCTGGTGTCAAGCTAGCCAGCTCGAGCGAGTCATGCATGGCATGCACATTCCCACCCGCCCTCCCACAGCATAAGAAGCAGTGATGGCACAACTGGGGGTTGCGCGGGCATTTCAGCTCGAGTGTAGGATACCCCATCGAGGCTTCGGGCTTCGAGGCCCCTCCCGGTTCGGGGTTCGAGGCTCCTCGGAAGCTCTCGCGGCTCTTGGGCCCACATCCCCGACGATACGATTTCTCCGTGCTGGCGTTGTTCCCTCGACTTCGCACGTTTATCCCTCGACTTCGCCCTCCTGGGAACGGTTTTTGCCCCCCTGGGCCAATAAGAACATATCCAGGACGCAAAACTGCTCCCGAGAAAGGGGTCGAGATCTCAGAAAAGGTTTGGGACAAATTCGCCGGCCTAACGGGCCAGAGGCGTGCAAAGATCTCCGGTAACTAGTTAACAATTTTCTGGTTCGCGCGCGCGGGGCGACCCCTGGGGGCCCCCGGACGAAAAGTACCCCGAGCAGGTCCCGGGCCAGCCCAACCGGCCAGAGGCGTGCTAAGATCTCCGGTAACTCGTAAACAATCTTCTAGTTTGCGCGCGCGGGGCGGCCCCTGGGGCCCCCGGACGAAAAGAACCCCAAGCAGGTCCTGGGCACGTCGGTCCCAGCGATGGTTTTCTTCTTCGGCGCTGACTTCCAGGTCCCAGAGCGCCCCAGGAACGCCCCAAGAGAGCCGAGACGCCCCCGAGACGATCCGACGGGCGAAACGCCGCCCGAGACGTTCCGAGACGCCCAAGATGGCCTCCAGACGGCCGAAAACGCCGCCCAGAAACCGCGGGGAGCCTCAAGAGGCCCTCCAAGAGCCTGAACAAACAAAAACCTCCCAGGCATTCGTCACCCCAGGGTCTCCTGGAACGCCCCGGCGACCAATGAATTGGCCAGCTAAAAACGTGCGCCGAGCCAAAGTGGGAGCGCATCTTTGAAAAAAATTCGCTCGGCGCCCAAGCGGGAAGGTCATTTCATTCACTTCGAGCGGGGGGGGGTGTGCCGCGCCCAATTCTTGCCATTCACTCTTGCGGGGTGGACGACAAGAACAGCTATGTGGGCAAGTAAAATCAGCATGGCGTTGCTTCTGACAAGTAAGGTGGTCCCTCCCGCCAGAAGTTCGCGCGCGATGTGCGCCGCGCCCCATTCCTGCCACGCATGTCGCATCGTCGACGACAAGACAGGCATCGATGAAAGGGACAACGGCAACTCTGTATTATTTTTTACAGTCAGGATGGGAGGGCCCGCAGCCCGCATGGACGTCCGCGCGCGATGTGCGCCGCGTCCCACTCTTGCCACATATTTCGCACCGTCGGCGACAAGGCAGGCCATGCTGAGAGGAAAAAGCGGAGACATTGTATTGATTTTTTGCAGTCCGGATGGGCGGGCCCGGAGTGACGGCCGCGCGCGATGTGCGCCGCGCCCCATATGTGCGCCGCGTCCCATTGTTGCCACATATTTCGCACTGTCGGCGACAAGGCAGGCCATGCTGAGAAGAAACAGCGAAGATATTGCATTGATTTTTTAAAGTCAGGATGGGCGGGCCCAGATTGACTGCCGCACGCGATGTGCGACGACAAGAAAAACGATGTTGAGAAGAAAATCGGCTACTTTGTATTGATTTTTTATAGTCCGGATGGGAGGTCCCGGATCGGGTTGCCATCAGCCGGAATACGAGGTAGGTGGGGGTATATAATAATAAGGAACAAGGATAGGGGTAAGAGTTGGGGTAGAGGTAGGGGTAGGGGTAGGGAGGAGGAGAAAGAGGAGGAGGAGGAGGAGGAGGAGGAGGAGGCCATCAGCGCAGTAGCAGCAGCGCCAGCAGGAGTCCAGGTTGACGCCCCCGAGAGGGGCGCGGAGAAGGACGAGTCGGAGGAGAAAGAGAAAGGAAGAGAGGAAGAGGAGAGAGGAGGAGGAGGAGGAGGATGAGGAGGGTGAGGAGGAGCAGGAAGAGGAGGAGGAGGAAGAGGAGAGGAGGAGGAGGAGGAAGAGGAGCAGGAGCAGGAGGAGGAGAGGGAGGAAGAGGTAGGAGGAGGAGGAAAAGGAGGAGGATGACGAGGAGGAGGAGGGAGAATGGACCCTCCCTGCCAGGCACGTTCGGAGGCCGGCAGGGCTTCGAGATGGCGTCCGGCGGGCCGTTCACCCACATGTTCGTCTTCTGACCAGGCGTTGTGGGGGTCAGATATATCAGAAACAGATGCGCTCGGAGGTGCAATGTGCTTCAGGCTGAGCCATACTGCGCCGAGGTCAGTGAGGAGGAGCAGGAGGGGGGAGGGAGAGGAGGCGGAGGAAGAGGACGAGGGGTGATAATAATGATGTGCAGGAGGCAGGGACAAAGAGAAGGAATCGGAAGAGGCATGTGAGCGGGAAAAGGGGGAGAAGCAAACGGACAACCCCACTTCCTACGATACCCAGCTGGTGCACGCGCAGTTTTCTGTGGATGCCACGTCACAGGCGCCAGCCTTCAACAATGGGTCTATATTCATGAGGGCATCTGCCTGCACTTACTGCGGCAGGCCCGACACCACGTTCCACCGCCTATGGGTCTGCATCCACGGGCGGGAAATGTGTAAGTCTCTGGCGCCAGACCACGCTCGGAGGCGGGGCCCACGCGACCCCTTCTTTGTTATGCTCCGGACAGGCATGCCAACAGTCGACCTACCCGCTTCTTGCTCAGAATTTGAACATCTGGCGTCAGATTGTCTCGTCGATCTTCCTGCTAAGCTTACTGCTGGCGAGACAGTTGCAGGCTTGAAGATGGCCTTCTCGGGTTACTAATGTGAAGCGCTTGCCCGATAGGAATGGGGGCTCCTGCTCGAGACGCCCTCGCGATTCAATCACAGACACGGCTCCCGCTCGAGACGTCCTCAAAATTCACGTCTCAGGGGCCCGAACGTGACGACATTTACAGGTTGAGGGTGGCCGCGTCGGATTGCTACGTAGTATGAAGCGCTTGCCCCATAGGAACGTGCTCTCGCTCGAGACTTCTACGCGATTCGCTCACAGACGAGATCCCCGCTCGATGCCTCATCCAGATGAATTTGTGAGCGTGTGCGTGGGAGTATGTGCGTGTGCGACGACGATGATGATGACGATGATGATGATTCTGGTGACGGCCAGGGTGTGATAGTGATGATGATGCTGCTGATGATGATGATGACGATGATGACGATGATGATACTGCGAATGCTACTGCTGATGATGCTGGTGATGATGATGCTGCTGCTGCTGATGATGATGATGATGATGATGATAATGATGGTGATGGTGATGGTGATGGTGATGGTGATGATGACGATGATGATGCTGATGATGATGATGATGATGATGATGATGATGATGATGATGATGATGATGATGATGGTGGTGATGGTGACTCTGCACAGAAAGCACGAGGCCTCTTTGGGATGTGTGAAACGTCCTGAGGCCATTTTCGTGGGAGGGTGGAACGGAGGATTCAGAACACATGATGAGGGGGACTAAGAGCATGGGTTCTGGAGATTGAGTGAGGAGGAGGAGGAGGTGGTGGTGCTGAAGGATGGGGGAGGAGGAGGGAGAGGCGGAGGAGGAGGAGGAGGGGGAGGAGGAGGAAGAGGAGGAGCAGGGACGCAGAGTTAACGATGGGTGCGACAGGGGAAGGACGAGGAGGAGTGGGAGGACGGACGGAAACGCCGGGACGCAGGAGTACGGAGGAGGGGAAGAGGGGGGAAGGATGGCGAGAAGGGGAGGCTGAGGGAGGCGGCAGGAGACCGCAGGCAAACGACTCTTCCTCCCTACGCCTCTTTTCCCAAGCATCCTATGGTATTGGGCCCTCGTTTTGCAGACATAGCGCCCCGCGTACCTCCTTCCCTCCCGCCTCCTCCGCCTCCCACTCCTCCCTCCTCCCATCCCTGCCTCTGCCCTCCGCACCAAGCAAACATGTCGGCGCACCCCTCACACGCCTTGTGGCCCCATAGGGTGCTCCACCGAAGGCCCTAGTTGCAGGGTCCACATGCAGTTCCACTTCCATTTCGGCGCAGCCCTCACACGCCTCGTGGCCTCATAGGTCATATGGTGCTCCACCGAAGGCCCCAGTGGCAGGGTCCGCATGCAGTTCCACTCCACTTCGGCACACCTCCTCACACGTTCCATGGCCCCATACTGTGCTCCACCGAAGGCCCCACTGACAAGGTCCACATGCAGTTCCACCTCCATTTCGCGCACTCACACGTTTCGTGGCCCTGTAGGGTGCTCCACCGAAAAGGGGGCGAAGGCGCAAGATGGGGCGGCAGGAGGCCATTGTCTTCGAGAAGGTAGCGATGGGGTGGCCGGGTGATCGGAAAGGAGGGCCGAGCAGGTGGAGGGAAAGAGAGAGGAGTGGCAAGGTGCATGAGGAGGCGGTCGGCTGGAAGCTGTTTCAGGGCCCTCGAGCCTTCTCACAACCCGATTGTTGGCCAGACCGGATCGATGCTGCGCCCTGCGGTTTGCGCCCTCTCGGCGGCCGCCTCTGCGGCGGCGGCCGCAGCACGCGATGTCCCATCTCTTGGCTGGCTGAGGGTCCTTCCAGCGGGGGGTGGCGGGGCAAAGAGGCAGTGTCGGAGGTTGGGGGGTGAGATCGAAGTGGAACGGAGAGCCCACCTACCGGGAAATCGATTTCGGTTTCGTGTTCGTGCGTGCCGTGCGGGCGAGGCGAAGCTGCGTGGGCGGGCGAGAGAAAGTCTCCTGTGGCTGAGGCGCGGCCGGACCAAATGACTCCCTTCCGGGCGGCCGGTGGCCCGCGGTGTCCCGCCGGTGTCACGCTGGTGTCCCGTGTGGCTGAGGCGCGGCCGGACGAAATGATTCCTTTCCGGGCGGCCGGGGCGGCGCGGTGTCCCGCCGGTGTTCCGCCGGTGTCCCGTCCGTGTCCCGTCGGTGTCCCGATGATGATGTTGATGATGATTACGATGATGATTATGATAATGATTATGATGTGTGATGATGATGATGATGGTGATAATGATGATGATGTTGATGATGGCGATGATGATGATGATGATGATGATGATGATGATGATGATGATGATGATGTTGATGTTGATGTTGATGTTGATGTTGTTGTTGATGATGATGATGATGATGATGATGATGATGATGATGATGACGTCGATTGCGAGATCGATTGTGTGTCGAGCGGCATGGTGTCGAGCGGCATGTGTGTCGAGCGGCATGGTGGGATCGTGTGTGGGATAGTGAGACCCGCCGAGAGAGATCGATGATGAGATCGATTGTGAGATTGATGGTGAGATTGATCGAGTGAGATCGATGAGTGAGACCGATAAGAGATCGATAGTGAGATCGATAGTGCAAGAGGGGGCGCGGGCTGCGCCAAGCTTTGCCAGCGCTTCAGTCTTCTGTGGCCAAATGCACCAATGGTACCAAGGCGCCAAAGAGCAAGCGGACGTAAACAACTCGACACCAACGCTCCCAAGAGCGAGCGGCAACGCAACTATCTTCACTGGCATTGTCACAACAACATTCACCACTGTTGCCCATTGCTGGGCCCCTCCCCCCCCAAACCTCCTTATCACCCGCAGGGTGGTCGTATATGTAAGTAGAAGGGGGGGCGGGGGAGCAGGGGCAGACGGGGACAGCTCCACTTCACTTGTCCTGGGGAGGCTGTGGTGGAGGGGGGATGAGGGGAGGCGAGGAGGAGAGGATTGGGAGGACGATGAGGATGAGACAGTTGAGAATTTGGCGGATAAAGAAGAGGAGTACAGGGAGTTTGCTTGGGCGGGGGGGGGAACTCCACGCCCACTACCTCCAGATGCCAGGGAAGGAGTCCTCGCGACAGCGCTTGCAACGGAGGCCGACCGCCGCTTCAGCGAGCCACAGCTGCTGGAAAACGGCTCAGTCCAGGAAGAGCGGCATCAGGGACGATGCCGATGCCGACCTCCACCGTCAACGACTCGCCTGCCGCCTGCCAGAGCCCCCTTGATCCAGGTGCCGAGCTCGACGTCGCTGAGCTTGCGGAGCCCATGCTCTCCGCGAGGCCGAAGGCGCGGTGGTGGAGGGCCTCTCGCTCAAAGCCCGTGCCCTTGTCCTGGTCGCCAAAAAACCTTGCTCTTGTCCCTGCCCTTGCACGAGCTCCAGGGCTGGACACGCGAGCAGCGCCGCCAGCTGCGCTCTGATCGGACCACGCGGTCGGTCGTAGCTGGCTCGACGAGGCCCATCTCCTTGACAGCACGACTGCCACGCGTGCATAAGCAGCTGCATGCCCAGCAGCACCCAGAGGAGCGCGCCACCTTCGGTGTCGCCCGCCACACGCCGCCGGGCCCCACCCCCGGCCTGGCGAAGTCTTCGCGACGACGCCGATCTCGCTCAGCCCGCAACTGCCGCTGACAGCAGCCGTCGGTGGCCGCTGTACGGGTGAAGGACCATGTGGACGTCCTTGTGCGCCATAGCGGCGGCCAGTTCGCGCAAACCTCCGGTCGCCTCCATCGCGAATGCGAGCGGCCGCCACAGAGCGCACGACCGCAGCCATAGGCGGCCTGTATGCACGGGGCTTCTTTTTTTTTTATTTCTTATCATATTTATTTTTTTTTTTATTTTTCCTTTTTTTTTTGCACCGATGCGCTCGCGGAAGGGGCCATTTGGACCGCGAGCCAAAACGGGCTAGGAGCACAGAAAGGACGGGACCAGAAGAGGAGGAGGACGCGGAGGTGGAGGCGGAGGAGGAGGAGGGAGGAGGCGGGGGATGAGATGAGAGGAGGGAGGAGGATCTAGAGGAGGAGGGGAAGGGGAGGGGAAGGAAGAGATGGAAAGGACGGGGGAACGAGGAGGAGCGCGAGGAGGAGGAGGAGGACGAGGAGGAGGAGGAGGAGGAAGGAGAATGTGGAAGCAGACAAGGAGTTATTTGGAAGAGGCCGTTCACCACCCTGTAATATCCCTGTGCCCAGATTTGATTCGCAGGGGAGAATTGGCACCGTAAGCGCGGAGCTGTTCGGCGTAATTATCTCAAGGTCTTTGTCCGCTGCCGCCGTCCCCCCTCTCAGACTGCTTGCATTGCTTGTCCATTGTGTTCGTTGGTTGATTGGCTGATTGGTTGGCAGGCTGGCAACTCGACTGTTTGGCTGGCTATCTGGATGGATGGACGGTTTGCAGCTTGGCTGGTCAGTTGGCTGATTGAAGGTCTGAAGGCAGGCTT